GATACCTCTCCTTTTTTCCTTCACTGGACTCAAGCATTGGGCTTTACTCCCTCCTTCTCTCTTTGTATTCGTTTCCTCCTCCCTTAGGCTTGAAAATAACATTTGGCCCATTTCTCCCATAGGAGGGTTTCCTATTTCCTTTATAGTTTCTCCTGTCGTAGCCTTCTTGTTCCTCTCTCCCCCTGACACTTTGTGACAACATCCTCTCTCTCCTCCATAGGTCAACTCATATCACCCACTTCAGAGTTGCTCGTTTCCCTTTGTTGACCGTTATGCTCTCTTTCATTTCCTTTCTCGGCTCTTGATTGTGATATATCTTTTTTCCTCCATGCTTTTGTATGGGTTTTCTTAATGTTGAGATTTTGTGGATCTGTTGATGTGACGTTAATAGCTTGCTCTTGTAGCACCTCAAATCGTGATTTCTGGCTTACTAGTTGCTATTTAGCAAGTTGGCGGCTACTCCCATTTCCTTTTTGTTGAATCTTTTTCTCTACCTTCGTTTTTTGGGTCCTGGGTCTAAAGGTACTTTTAGCTTTCATCCAGTTTCTGTATTCCTCCTTGGGACTAATGCCTGGTATACTGAACAGTGAATTTTTCTCTCTCAAGTCAACTTCCATCTCCTCCGTTCGATCTCTCGGCGTTTGCTTGTCCGGCGATGGTGATGTGCTTCCTGTATGTTCCTTATCTGACTGTGGCTCTGGCTAGACTAAGAGAGGATAGTTCTCTTTTTTATGCCCATATCGGTTGCACTAAAAACAAATAGTGTCCAAGCCCTCATACTCTACTGTATAGAGTGTTCTTTGAATCATGAATCTGGACTGTAGATTTCTGTTCAAGTCGACCTCAACACTGACCCTTGCAAACTTGCCTCTCTCCACTATTGTAGAATTGTTGTTGCAGTTAGCAAGCGTATTAATGTCTACTTTAAGAGCTCTTCCAGTTAAGTTGCCTAGCTCTAGCAAGCACTCTTCGAAGTAACAGTGCATCGGCAAGGTAGGGACTCTTACCCAGATTGCTACCTTCCTAACCTTATTACAGTATGGATTGAAATTTGGGCTCCATCTCTGAATAGCTAGATAATGCCCCTGTATCATTCGCAGACCATCAAAGAGGAGCCTCCTGCATAGCTCCACATCCTTTGCTCAAAAGACATAGTAATTATTTGGTAGGTCGATTTGTTCAAACCTTCCAGATTTCAAAATCCAACCTACCTTGTCCTTCATCATCCTCAAGTTGGTTTCCTTCCCTAGCAAGGTTAAAATCATAGCATCTTTTCATGGGAGACACAGCTCCTTTAGTCTTTCGTCTGACAGGTTAAGTTTTGGTATACCTTCTGTTGTGATATTTGTGGACGTGTGTCAAAGAAAAGGCATCATATTAATTGGTAATGTGGGGGTTAGAATAAGCACATTCTTAATGAGGATTTTATAAAAATTCAAATATTATTTTGAAATGAAAGAGCATATCAAAATAATATTTATTATCAGCATTAGTGAAGAAAAACTGAATAGTAAATCATCATCATCAATAGTTTTAATGCTTCAAAGATGGAGCAACAAAACCTTCAACGGATGTCCATGGTTTCAATACATTAAAAGTGTTAAATTCCAATCAAATTGTTTCAGTCATCCCAAAGCGTTAAGACTCTATTTCTATACGGTTTTCTAGTCTTAATATCTTAACCCAATGGTTTCAAAATTGCAAAACGTTCAAATCATAAACTTTAATGCATTATAAAACTTGCAACGGATGTCCATAGGAAGGGATATAATTCCACCGTTTCAACCATGTATCATCAATTCTTTTATTCGGTTTTAACTTTTGAATTCATGGGAAGAACGCACCATTGAATATCATGCTTTATGGTGGCAACGATCATTTCCTTTGGAGCCTATATAAGGGGCTTTAGCCAAGGTACAAACACACACAGCTCTAGAGTTTTCGAGCTCCTTTCTTCCCCCTCTTGTGTGCTCTCTTACCTGCTGAGTTTACTACTATCTTCTGCTGTTCTGCTCATCCTGTTTTACAGGAAGGACCCGTTTAATCCTGGGAAGTGCCGCATCCTTATCTACTGGTAGTTCCGGAATAGCTCTTAAGGACAGCGTCCTTATTAACTATTTATTTTGTAGGTGTTGCCGCCAACACCTTCAATCATCTTTTTCTACTTTTCACTCAGTTCAGGAGCTAAATCTTCCTCCTCTTTAAGCCATTCCTTTATCAAGGACTCAAAGTCTTCAGTGAAAACCTTCTCCTCTTCTCCCATTAGTTTGGCTTTGTAAGATATCGGGTTCCTTATTTTATTTTTCATCTCCTTGGGCTCATTCTTGTCCTCCGCTGACGCACTCTGTTCATGGTCCTTCATAACAGAGTCTTCAATCCCCTCCTTTCCTGTGTTCTTTGGACTTCGGGTTTCCTAGGGTTCTCCTGCATTTTTTTAATGTTCCTCCCCAAGATGTCATCTTCATCTGAAGTATTTCCTTGGTTCCCCTCTGGCGAAGAGTTGCCTGAGTTGACCAACTGAACTTTGTGTGCACTGTTTCTCTCTCTATGATTCTCGCTCATCTCTTTAAGTCTATGAAAAGAATTTTAATAGAAGAAAGAGAAGAAGAGAGGATGGAAGGGATTTCAATTAAAAAAAAAAAGAGAGATTTTAATATTATTTTGGTTGGTTCAGAAGGGAGGAGAGGGTTAAAATTTTTTATGGACAAATTTACCCTTATTTTATTTAAGTTGTTTTTCAAACTTTATAAAATATTTAATAAAATATAATTATACGCACATAAAGTTATATTTTATAATTATACTCATAATTACAATATATATAATAATTATTCTTCAAAAATGAGTCGCAAGGGGTCCACAATGCGATCCACAATGCGAGGGATGCCAAGGCTGTTGGATAAAGAGAAAAGGAAAATAACACTTTTTTTTTTAGGGGGGGCTCAAAAATGAACTCGCCTCCCCTAATCGTGACTTGCTCCACTGTCGCTAGCCCCGGCATTTACCTCCTCACCGGCGACTCCTTCAACTTCTACTCCCGCCCTCCCCTTTCATCGTCTCTTGTTGCAGGTTTGGGTTCGTGCTGATCACTGTCTTCATGGGTTGGGGATGGCGAAAGCAGCGGCGGCAGCGAAGAGGTAATTGACCAGGGGCGAGACACAGGCAAACCAACGCGTGAAGCAGCTGAAGTTGGCATGGGCGGGATTGGAATATTTAAAAAATAGTATGGACAATATGGTCAGAATGAGACAAATTGTTTCTCTCCCTTGCACTCTTGGAGGGAAGTGAGGTGATGGAAGTAAAGAGGAAAACGACAAAAACTTTTACCATTCCTTCCTTCCCTTCTTTTCAACCAAGCACACTAATTCCTCCTCCTTTTTTTTTTTTTCTTTCCTTCCCCTTCCCTCAAAAAAGTGAAAAAACCCCCCGCCAATCACTACCTTAGGCAAGACATTAATAATCCTCGTCTGACAACTATTAGGGTGTGTTTGGTTGGAGGGGAAGGGAGGGGAAGGGAGGGAAATGAGCTCCTCCCCTCCCCTCCTCTCCCTCCCCCCATTTTGGCTCCCCTCCAAATTGGGGGTTTTTGGAGGGGAGCCAAAATTTTGGACTATTATGCCCTTATGGTTTTTTTAATATTCTACTTCTACCCATAAAATATATTATTATAATATTTATTTCAAATAAAAAATATATCATCCTAAATAAAAAAATAAAAAATATATACATTATTATAATTAAAAATATATTATAAAAATTATTTAAAAATAAAAATTATTTAAATAAAAATTATAATATTATAAAATTAATTGTTTTTTATAAATATATTATTTATTAAATATATTTTAAAGCTGGAAAAAAAGATAGCCTAAAGAAAATAAAATTTCATTTTTCTTAGAGCATACAAAATTTGTTAATTTGATTATTTTAAATATATTATTATATTAATTAGAATAAAAAATTACTATACCAATTTTTTAATACACATATTAACATGATAAGACTGATTTTTTATTAAATTATATAATTTAAATTAAGATGTAAATTAATTTATATAATATATCAATAAAAAACATAAACTAATATGTAAGGATAAAATGGTAAATTGATTATTATTATCCCTCCCCTCCCCTTCCTGAACCAAACAATGGATCATTAAATACCCTCCCCTCCCCTCCTTTTTAATCAAACCAAACAAGGTGAGGATGAAACCTTCCCTCCCCTCCCCTCAAACCAAACAGGCCCTTAAGAGCTCGCTTGGGGAATGGTTGTGGTATTTGTTTGGGCAGTTTGGGCCGAACCATTTATGCTTAAAGGAGTTGTCACATTTTCATCAACTGAGTTCTTACTTGAGCCCAAAAAGAAAAGAAAAGAAAAAGAACTGAGTTCTTACTTAACATCATCTCATAGGAACGAGTCTGGGTGCTGAGGATGAGCATGATTTGAACCATCTAAATTTATTTTTTTAAAAAAATAATTATTTTAATAAATATATAATATAAAATCAAAATAATATATTAACCATTACTTTTTAAAAAATAAATAATTAAAAGGTTTAAATCCGAGTCTAATGAGTTTGACTTATGGCTTTCTCTTTTCCATATTCATGGAAAAAAATAAAGTACTTGTAATGATTGATTTGAAATTTTAAATATTATCTTAACCCAATCAATCAATATGTCTTCGAAATATCTTCTACCAAGCTCATCCCCACAGTATAGCTTGATACAAACACATACTGTTGTAAAATTATAAATTTATAAAATAAAATGAATTGAAATTTTACATTTAAGATTAAAAAAATTTCTCATTTAGATTTTATATTTTGAAGAAGGCCGATGTTTAATTTTCATTTGGGCACATAACTGGGCCCCACCGATATATAATTTTGCTTACAGGATTAAATATGAAACGGATCAGGATTTTAATTAATTATGTCAAAGACAGAAAGATTTAATTATTTAAGAATTGGGATTGAGGCTCAGGTATGGAAACACCGAGACACCTCTCACGAGTTTCGATGATATACTGTGGCGGAATGTGGAGGAAACACCGCTAAGCAAAGCATAATACGGACGAAAATGGAGCTCCGCTTTGACCAATGATCAATCCACAACGCAAATCCCTTTCTCCAATTCCAAATCCTTTTCCTGCCCCGCACTCTCTCACTCCTCATCCTAGTTTCCGCCATGCGAGCATGCTTTCTTCCTCCTCATCCTCCAGCTCCGCTCTCTCGCGTCTCCTGATCCCCTTTCTATTTTCTAGGTATTGCATCGCTTCAATCTCTCCTCACACTTTGTTCAATTCTTGCATGTGTGATCTCCATTGTCGGTAAAGAGCCCTGTGTATAGATACCCAGCTCTTAATTTTCGATTTTGCAGTAGAATCTTGTTCCTTCGGATCGTGGGTTTGACTTTAAACTTGATTTTAATCTTGAATATCAATGAAATAATCGCCTTTTGCGACGGAGTTTTATTAAACATGGAGATTTCCAGTGGAGGTGGAGGTTGTTCTCCTAGAAACAGGTCTGATCATTTGAGGAAAGAGGGATCCGGAGAGGCCGCTTTTCAACTTTCGGCGTTGGAACTCTCTGATCATGGTCATACCTATCAATTCCAATCAATGAATGCATTGGAGATTTTGAGAGAGACTGTCTGGATACTTAGGTATAATTGCTGGGCCTTCATGGCAATCTTGGCTTTGCTCATTTGTCCTGTTTCTGCTGTGCTTTTATCTAATACATTAGTAGATATGTCGATTGTGAAGAGTCTCACTATTCGGCTTATGTTGGTTGCCAAGACTAGTGGTCTCCCTCTGAGAGACCTCATCAAGCAATCTTGCCAGCGTTTTGCAGAGACGATGGTTTCTTCCGCTATGTGCCTACCTCTGTACATCACCTTGTTGTTATTGTCAAAAGCAGCCGTGGTGTATTCTGTAGATTGTACGTATTCGAGAAAAAAGTTCGATGCTTTGAAGTTTTATGTGATCATCACTAAGTTCTGGAGGAGGATAGTTTCTACATATATGTGGGTGTGTACAGTTGTGGTTGGTTGCATCACCATGTTTTGTGTTTTTCTTGTTTGCTTCTGCAGTGCATTGTCTGTTCTTGGCTTTTCTCCAGATATAGTTGTTTATGCTGCAGTGTTGGTGGGTCTGGTCTTCTCTGTGATATTTGCCAACGCTATTATCATTTGTAACATTGCAATCGTAATCTCTGTACTGGAGGATGTTTCGGGAGCACAGGCAATGCTGCGGTCTAACATCTTAATCAAGGGACAAACACAGGTTGGTCTACTGATATATCTTGGATCAACCATAGGAATGGCCCTTGTGGAGGGTTTGTTTGAGCATCGAGTGAAGACGCTAAGCTATGGTGATGGATCCTCTAGGATGTGGGAGGGGCCGCTCTTGGTGATAATGTATTCATTTGTGGTGCTTATAGATTCCATGATGAGTGCAGTTTTCTACTTCAGTTGTAGATCATTCAGAAGTGCTGTTGACGCTTCAACTGGTGAAGGCAATTCCATTTTAGAAACTCTGGCTATTTCTGCTGAAACAGTGAACGTTCAATGACATAGTCAATGTGACTTTTATATACTAGCCGACTTGATAAGATAAAGACGAGAGTAGCAAGAAAATTTTCAAATCAATACGTGTCATCACGGAAGAACATTGCCGGACGCCAGGAACGACTGACTTCGGATGACTTTCAAGCTTCGACTCTGAGATCAGATGACTAATTTGAGTGCCTGAGAATCTCTACTTTTAGTAGGTTATAGATACACAGAGGTAAATAAAAGCTTGGTAATCCATGGTTCAATTTTTTGGAATGTCACTAGAAAAGCTGTTATTTTTAAGAAAATAGTACAAAATCAATTAAAATTTAAGCACAAATCCCTTCGTTTTTGTGTTATACAGATTTATGTCATATCATTCAAAATCTTTTGTCCGTATTTTGTGTGGTAGGCATTGGAAAAATTTGCGGTGAGTTCATCTTGGTACTAACAACATTGATGAACGACGAGTGGGCATAACGAGTCTGTCTTAAGCTCTGCTCTTCTTATGTGGCTTCATAATTACTTTTGCCTAATGATGTTTGGTTGTTCTTAATCTTTCAATGACCCCAATGCCAAGAAAATAAGAAGAGCGTTTCTTCTTAATTACACTAGTCTAATGCTGCCCCAAAATGAAAAAAAGGTGTCTGTCGTTAAATCTTCAATGAATTCATGCAGATCAGGTTAGTTTGAATAATACCCATATGAAGTTCTCATGCATCGAAAGACCTCTGTATGCTAGATTATTTTCGATTGGTTTTTAACTTGTGACTTTTGTTACTGTTAATTGGTTCTATTTTATGCGTTCCGGTACTTGTAAAACCAGTGATTATGGTATATTCGATGCCAAATTAGATGTTTGTTAAATGCGTTGTAGTGTTCAGTAGTTTTGGGACCCCCATAGAAATAGAACAAAGGTGGGAGTGTTGATTCTTTTCTTCCTTGATTCAATACTAATGCTTGTCAATCAATATGTGAATATAATAGATAACACTAGTTTTGATATTTTAACTCAATATTTTACTGTGTATTACTACTGGTAAAACCCCCTCCCCCCAAAAAAAAAAAGAAAAAAACACATACAAAAAACTCATCTTCGCTGAGACTACTGAGACGGGTGACACACTAGCAATGTATTACTCCTTAGGTCCTAAGTATAAAATTCATTTTATAGTTTGTTCTACAAAATGGGTTTTATATTTAGAATCGGAAGAGTATTAAAGCACTTTGTGTGATTGAGATCATGCTACATGCTTAATCGTGCAATCTCCAAAGCAGCTATTTATGCTATTGCTGCAGAAAATGTTGGACGCCTTTTGTTAATCATGATTGATCATTCACTTCTGGAAATTTATTATTGATTTGACCTCTGAACTTTTAATTTAGCTTATTTTTTCACTCGAATCCCATGTGGTTTAGCAAGTGACTTAAAGTTGGTTTCATTACAACCTTACATGTTCATCTGAAAGTTTGAAGTAAACAGATAGTTTGTCTGAAAGCTGAGATTCAACAGCCATACATGTTCTTTCTAAACAGAACAATCCCTTGATGTATAAAAATTACTTGGCTTGGTGAAGTGAACCAAAAATCTCAGATGCCCCTCACTGACATCCCAAATCCAGAGCCACTCTACTCTTTAATTTTCGGGGATGTTTTAATCAAACTGACTGAATTTTGGGGGGGAAAAGGGGGGGGGGGGTAAGATGTCAGTGGCCTTTTCGGCTTGATGGTACAATGATCACTCTTGTAATCTTGTTGGTACTAGGTTGCGGGTTTGATTCTACTCATGCCATCTAAACCTTGCCTTTGTAATCCAAAAAATAAAATAAAGGAACAATTAATCTTTTGGTCTATATAATTTTGACATGTTTGTAATTTAGCTCCTATGTTTTGACTCAATGCAACTTAGTCCTTAAAGTTTTGATCAGGTAAGTTTGACTTGTTGCAATTCGTTCTCTATAGTTTTATCTATCTTATAATTTAGTTCTTATATTTTTGAAAATTGAAATTATATATCTAAAAAGGGATAAAAGTATAGGGACCAAGCTGTAGCAAGCCAAATTTCAGGGACTGATTTACAACCAAGTCAAAATTGTAGAGATTGAGTTGCATCGAGTTAAAGTATAAGGATTAAATTACAAATAAGTAAAAATTAGGGGGGCTAAAAGATTGATTTTCCCTAAAATAAAACAGATATTGACCCTGATATAGTGTGATTTCAAATACAAGAACCATAGATTCAGCATCTATCCAAAATTATATTGCTGGGTTTACAGAGTTACTATCAGGCTAACTGCATTGTGGATTATCTGTTTTCCACAGCAACCAATTAATTAGCTGTATGATTCATCAAATTCTTCAGTTCAACTTCCCTTATCACAATTGAAATTATGTTATCATCCTGCTGCGCCATTCCATGCAAACACAACTTTGTCTGGATGCTAGCAAGCAGAAATTTGACAATTTGTTTAATTTAAAAAAATAAAAACAAAAATAAAAACCCAGGAACTCAATGGGGAGAGAATTAATGAACTGCCCATGCAGTTGGAATCCAACCTGCAGATTTGACTGCAACATGATCAGATTGAGCTTTGATGCTTCTATAGCTAGTATCATCAAATGTCTCCCCATTTGACAAATACTGATAATATGATCAAGTGAGAGATGTGGGAGCAACATGGAAGTGAAAGGGCCTGTAACTAAATGCAGAGATACTGAGAGTGAAAGAATGAATCTGCAAGCAAGCAAAGCAGCAAAACAAAAACCAGAAAGTCACATCTCATGTCTGTGTGGTAGCTTTCATGATGGGACAATGATAGCTTTGGGCGGGTGGGTGGATGGAGAGGTCATTGAGGCTTTTGTGGGATGTTGGATGGACTGTGTTATGATTATTTTTATATTATGCGATGTAATGGAAGAAGCATCAGTCCAAAGTTCCATCACCGACCGAGGGAATCTCTTGTTCTTTTACCTTCCCCACTTCATGTTCCTTTCTCATTCATTACTTTCAACACACTGCACCTTTTTTGTTTTTGAGTGCCAAATTGGAATCCTCTTCTGTTTTTTCACCCTTTTATTTGCAAGCCAGCGGTTGCTGGACGTGATGGAACCTGAATTCAAATGCCACTAAGGACGCTTCAGGTGCTGCCAAGCCAAGAGGCCGTGGATGGTGATAAGCATACAAAAAGTTACTTTTATTATATGATAAGATTTAGCTAAATACTACTCTCGAAGTTTAATATAAAAGTTAAATAACTAGTTTTAAAAAAATTTAAAAAATTAGTTAAGTTGATTAAGTATAACAAATATGTGTTGACTTTTTCAAACTACTCTATTTAATCATGTGCTTTGAAATTGTTTTTTGATGGGAATTCCCTTACAATCAAAAGGATATTTAAAAAAATATATATAAATTTTAAATATGAGAACTAAATTCACTCTTCAACTAACTCTTGTATTAAATACTGAAGGTAGGAGTTAGTACACATCCGGTGTTTCCTATGACCATGATGGATAGTGACTTGTCAATTTCTACGAAAAAATTAACCTAATATCATCAATAATATTAATCTATTTAAAAGGATGTTCGTTATCACGTCCCCTAATAATTAAATTAATAGTTTCTACATAATTAGAATATGGCACTATATTTTTATACCCTCTATGCTACCATAAATTAAGACCATGATACCATTTAAAACTATGTTTCTCATAGAATATAAAAGAGAAAGGTATTATAAAAACAATGGAGGTGAAAGTGTACAAACACACATAACATTTAAGAGATGAAAGAAGTGCTGCGCGTGCATGTGGAGTAAAATCTATCAAATCAAGTATTCCTCTTCTAGCCTGCCCAACACGCCCAACGCCTGGTTGGGTACAGGATGATGTTTGCGGTTTATTGGGAATAAGAACATGGGGTCTGCTACTGTCACAGTTCATTCCTCTTTGTACAATAAGTTTCATCTCTTTTTCCCAATTTCTAACATGAAATGAATTTAGAAATTAGAATAGTTGGACATAGGAGTGGGCATTCAGTTATTGGATTCGACTAACAGTGATAATCAAACTAATCAAATAACCAAAATATACATATTTATAAAACCGAACCGAAACCGAAATGCAACAACTAAATGAACCCAATTAACCGAAATAAATTCAGTTTGGTTAGCTAGTTTATTTAATTAGTAAGCCTTTTTTTTGGACTTTTTCTGTTCCAAACAGTATGACAGTAGCCTACATAATATAATAAAAATCTAAAGACTAATAATCTATTTGAAAGCCCACACAAGATCCAAAAGAGTATATAAATTGATAACAAATTTAAAATCAAACATAATAAAAGTCTAAATAAACAAACTACCACTTCAGCAACATTAACATTTAAAATTTTAAAATACAGCATTACAAAAGTCCAAATAAATCCAACTAGCCCCCAAGCTCTCCTTATATGCAACATAACACAGCTATTTGGTTTTTTAACAATAAGGGAGACTGGTCCAAAAAAACAAAAAAGGAGGCTGGTCAAAAAGAAAGAAAATAGAGAAAGATTAAAAAATTTATTCAAAAAAGGTTTTTAATAAATTTTGGTTATCGGTTATAACCAAAATATTTTAAAAGACACCGAATCGAGCACTGATAACCGAAATAATTAACCAAAAAAAAATCTAATTAATCAAACAAAAAAAAACCGAATTAAGACCGATTCGGTTATGGCTTGGTTTTGCTCACACCTAATTAGACACTTTTTTTTAGAGTTAAAAAAGCGCACTTTTTTGTTATTATTAATAAATCCAGAACGTCCCTTTCACATATCACATACATCATTCTTTCAATAATAATAATAATAATAGCAACAACTATTCTTTGTGGGTCGGTGTTAAAGGATGAACCATGATTGGAGGTAGTATATACAAGCCAAATTAGGGTACTAGGTACAAGAGATATCTCATGATCAATTGGATGGAAAATATATTTTATTTTATGATTATTTACATCTTAATTTTATTTTATTAAATATCTTTTTCGTTATTTTATAAAATATAAGTGAAATTTTTTAATAATTAAAACAATTGATAATAAATATTTTGATTTTTGGTATATGTATATATATGCTGTTAAGAAAATTACAATATGTACTCCTCTGGTCCTAAATATAAGACCCTTATACAAGTATGTATAAAGGTCTTATATTTAAGATCGGATAAGTATTTTTTATTGAGGGCATTATGGTTCAATTAGACTCATTCATTTTTCCGCATTACAAGCTAAACATAGATAACTTGTTATACGAAGCCTCATTCAACTCTTTTTCACATTGTGATAAAAATAATATGGTATTAAATATAAGGGCTAGTCTAATATTTAATTTGATTTTAAATATAAGATTTTAACACATTTTGTCTGTTATATTTATTTATTTTTTCTAAAATAGTCCTTAAGTAATTGCACACGTTAAATGTTTCATTAAATAGTAGTTTTAACTAATACACATAATTATTAGTAAGGATATTTTAAGAAAGATAACATATATTTATTAAAAATAACTAATTCAACTAATTTTCTTAATATACTCAAATTAGTTAACTAACTCATATATTAAGGCCATGAGGTAGTATTTCAAATATATCTCAATTATAGTTTCGGTTTTTAAAATTTAACATTTTATCAATCAAGTCTTTATAAACATATTTAATTAGTCTTATGATTTGGAGACGTATAATTCTAGACACGCACGTGATGTAAGTTTTAAGTTTTAGCTGGAGAATGACACTCATCATGAAATATAGAAGAAATTGTTGGTTTGATGAAATTAAATAAAAACATGAAATGTGTATAATTATAACTTTAAAAATTTGATTAATATATAAACTAAATTTCACGGACCAAAGATAACAGAAACAAACCTGAATGATCAGAAGTTTTATTATGGCTCTCTCTCCCGTATTACCCTTCCTTTTCTCACTCTCGTTTTCATCATCTCCCTAACCCTATGTTTATTTTTTAACGGAGTGATTTTAATAAGTTAAAATTGTAATTTATGGTCAAGCATAAAGTAGTTAAAAAAAATTACCTTCCTCCAATACATATATGGGAAAATTAATATAGCAGTCCTTATAGTTTCATTAAATTTTGAATTAGGTCCTTATAGTTTTTTTCTTTTTTTATTAAATCCTTATTATTTGCTCTGTTAATAATGTAAGTCCTTCTGTTAATTCAGCCGTTAATTTAAGCAAACATCGTCTTCTTCTCTCTCCATCGCATTGTCTCCGCACTCAGTTCTCTTTCTCCCCTCTGCCCATTCATATCCCGTCCCTCTCATCTTTGTCTGTTCTTTCAGTTTCTCTTTCTCCTCTCCAAATCTCTCTCTCCACCATCATCTTCTTTATCTCTTCTTACAAAAGCTTTACTCTTAAATTTCAAATATTTCCTTCTCACAACTGTAATAGTACCCTCTGCCTCCTTCATTCTAGCTAGGGCTGTGCAAAAAACCCAATGGTCCAGGTAACCCGGTCTAACCCGATATGGCCCGGTCCAACCTGGTCCAGGTAAAATTAGTCTAAAAAAAAATCAGACCAGACCAGACTGACTGGTCGGGCTGGACCAGGCTCAGGACCAAGTGATCAGAACACTTAGTCTGGTCTGGTCTGGCCCGGGTAATATATATATTATATATATATATATTTTAATTTGCTTCTGGGAACTGGGCGTGGCACTGTAGGAGGAACTCTAACACTGTCGTTTTACTTTTACTCACATAGTCACACTCCTCACTCAGTAGCTCAGCGCCTCAGTCAGCTCGTCGCTCTCGGTCTTCTCTGTTCTCTCCCCATCTTCGTGAAGAAGCCCTAGCAGTAGCCAGCAGGTAGCAGCGACGGCGTCTCCTCCGTCAAAGGTCGAACTGTTGATCTTCTCAGCCCGTTCCTGATCGGCTGATCCTCCTTCATTGGTCTAACCCGAGCAAGCACGTGAAGATGCACTCTTGACCCTGTTCTTGGGCCTCTACTATCCTATTCTCCTTCTGGTAAGGATCATTGCTCTACTTCCCCATCAACTCTGCGGCACTGGTGACGTCCCCGTTTTTGTTGCCTATCCATCTCCTGCTATTCGTTCTGGCTTTCAGCTTTTGGATTGCCTCGCGGCTAAAGCTGAAAATTCGCTCCCCACAGCTTCAATGTTATATGGATATTTTTAGATAATGGTTTTTTATTGTTGTGTGTACTGTGTGATGTGAAATTTTGTATTGGATTGAGTGGAGTCGTGGAGTAGATAAAAATCAGTAGGAAAAAAAAAAGATGAAGGCTTGAAACTAGGAGGAAAAAAAAAAAGGAACTGGACTTCCTGGACTGGTCCAGGTGGTCCAGGGGACCAAGTCCAGTCCAGCCCGAACTCGGGCTGGCACTGGACTGGACCAGACCTCGGGCTGCCTTGTTCAGCCCGAGGTCCTACCCAGACCAGACCTCGGGTTGATACCTAACTCGGTCTGGTCTAGTCCATGATCACCCCTAATTCTAGCTATGCATATGGTGAACAGAATTTTCATGGAAAAGGGGGAAAAAAAAAAACAGAGCGCTACAGAGTAACAAAGTATGTTGTAGCTGGCCTACATATTTTGTTGACATCAACAAATTAATTCCCAGATGCACTGTGGATCACTGATGGTCGTCCAAAATATCCATATATAATATATTTGACCAAGAATTTCTATACGAAAAGTGCTATTTGATTTCCATTCAAACTTACTCAACTCGACTCCAATTTCATTCTATAAACTCAATAATATTGTACAAGACATTATACTTTAGTTTTCACTTTTATTCCACCTCTGATCGAAAATGTGGTAGAAAAATAGGGTCTTTAAGAATTCACTTAAACGTATGTGTATATTACTAGAAGAGGAGATAAAGAAGAAGATGAAAAACAATATGAAGTACCGGTGAGAGAAGAGACAGAGAAACTGAGAGAGGAGATAAAGAAGATGATGGTGGGGAGAAGGGACAGGAAGGGGGAGAGTGGAGAGAGAAGCTAGACAGTGCGACCGAGAGAGAGATAAAGAGAGAACGGTGTTAATTCAAATTAACGGCTGAATTAATAGAAGGGCTTACAGTATTAACAGAGCAAACAATAAGGATTTAATGAAAAAGAAAAAAACTATAAGGACCTGATTCAAAATCTGATGAAACTATAAGGACTATCATATTAATTTTCCCTACATATATAAATATATTATATATTAAAAAATGTATTAACTAACTCCTGGTAAAATATAAAGGTGGAAAAACTTCAATTTATACCACAGAAAGTCACAGTCGCTTCCTCACACGTCCCTTTCAATATTTCAACTATGGTCCCATCCTGTACGTGGTTCTCATGCTCATGGACTCAGGTATCTTATTTTGCCTATAATTCCAAAGAAATAAATAAATATATATATTAATACTTTGGGCGGTAGTTGGATTTTGGGGGGAAAAAAGAATTAAGTGATTATTATATCACAACCATATCAAAACACATTTCAGATTTATAACCTATACAGAAGCTATCTCGACTTCTTATTAAGGGATGTTTGGATTAGTTTTTCAAGAATAATTTTATAGAATATGAGAAAAAATTTTATGTTAATTTGCATAAAAACATTTTTTTTTTTTTGCCTAAAGAGGGTGTTTAGATAACTTCTAGAGTTTCATAAAACTCGTGAAGTTTTTTTTTTTCAATTACAAAACTCATGAAGTTTTCTAAACACCCTCTTTAGGTATCTATTTTCATGTCAATACTTTAGGTGAAATAAAATTATAGTATTTTTATTATTTATTATCAATGCCTACTAATATATGCCTACTGATTGGGGATTTTTGTGCATCTTTTAGGGTTAGGGTTTATTTGGTATCATCTTCGTAACATATTTCAGGTAAACCAAGATAAAATTTTATTGACATACTCACATCATATTCCGTAAATTATAATTGAACAGCTTCTTATAAAAAATTCCAAATGTGCCCTTAATAGGCGAAATTGTATCATAATTTAATGCTTTATAAGTATTTTTGCATACAACCTATTTACATGTAACACATCATCCCTTGACGGATATTTGGCCTCTACCATGAATTGTGAATTTTTGCATTGTTTTTAAATATTAATTGATGAAATTGCAACATACTTAAATTTAGGATGCCCCAACTTTTGTGGAATACTTTATGAATGTTTTGCAAATTAGGCGCTCATTTTCTGTCCCACTAACTACCAAAAGGGGCTAAAAGACAAAATAACTAATCAGTAATCACTCAGATGATGAGTTAAACTTTTTCCTAAAGTAACCAGTTATGGATGCTTGGTGGTAATCACAAATGATTCGTCATCTTCTAAGTAAAAAGAAAGGGGGGGGGGAAAGCACCGTACAGTGCGGGGGAGGGACCCCCAAGAACTTTATGCCATACGGCTCTGAAGCCTGAAATTGATAGTGTAGGATCTCAGCAATGCCTTGGTACTATCACTGGCAAACCCCATAATATATAAATATTTACACTTTCTTACTGACCACTCTTTCTGTCCCTTCCCTTCCCTTCCCTTACCCTACACTGCCCTCCACAGTACTCTCTTACGTCTCTGATGCGTACAGACAGAAACAGAAAGTAAGAAAGAGACAGAAGAAGCACAGAAAGTTGGTGTGGGGAAAGGGAAATGAAAATGGTGGTGCCAAGTTGAAGATAAAAAGGAGGTTACTGGAAATTTTATACCCTCTGGTTCACCCCCATGAGACAAAAGGGCAACTTCATTCTTTTTCCTCTTGCCTTCTCCCTGCTTCTGCCATATTCATCAATTGAGCTGTCAATTTGCTGTGCAACGTGATTCTGTGTCTTGAGGTGATGTACCTTCTCCCTGTGGGTCCATATAGAGACTAGAGAGTCCTCTCTTTACCCTTTTCATAATTTCACTACTTATCCCCCTCTGAAATGAAATGCTAACTCCCACCGCAAATTCTGGGGTTATTATGATGTAACTAATTAATGATTGATTCGTCGTATATGATGATCTCCTTAAACTAAACATGTTTGTGACCTTTTGGAGCTTTGTTTCATCACTACCAAGTGATCTGTAGCAGAAGCCACACATCAAGATAGATCTTGTCATCACCACTTACCAGGTCATAAATGTATTGAGAATAATTTCATTCACAGTCATCTCAAACTAATTTGCAATACATTTGGGAGCATTTGTTTAGAATATAGTATCAAGCATAGCGAAGTTTATTCAATAATCCAAGGGCCATTGTAATGGAATTTAAGTCCTTCAGAAGAACAGATGTTCACCAATACGAATTCATTCATTTGTTCTGATTCACCTCCGGGTATTTGAATAGATAATATGCATAGATTACATTCTTGTCCTCTAATGCTCCCCCTGATCATCCACTACTCTACTTGCCCCCTTGTTTTTTTGGGCTCACGGTCTCAGATATCTAAAGCTATGCTATGAAACTAAGTTATTTTAAAATCAAATTGGCACTTCCAGAAGAGTTAATCGTTAGCAGTAGAACATGAGCTTCTTGATGTTTTCACTGAGTCTTGGTAGAGGTGCTGTCTTTGGAGGGGCTGCTCTTGATAATGAACTGTATAAACCTGAAGACTCTGATCTCTCTAGGTAGAGTCTGCCTCTGTAAGCTGCCAAATGTGCATAATAAGCAGGTGGGACCAAAGAAATTGGCTTGGTGCACCTCACAAAAGTGTAACATAAATTGTAAACCAGCTTCTGTAATTCATCAGAAGTGAACTGGTTTTCATCCCACAGAACATGGTAATGTGTTGGCCTGCTTGTTCCTTTCACACCCCAGTGGCTGCATAGATAGAAATCAAATTCTTTCGGGTGAGTGATCACAGAATCAACCACAGTCCCTGGCGGAATATTCTCATATGAAAAATGGTTTTGGTTGGTGGATTGGTCTGTTTCAACGGGAAACAACCTTGTATGGTGCCTCTTCTGTACTACTGCGAAAGTAATGAATGGTTTATAATCAGGAAATTTGGAACACGCCCCTCTGATGGATTGCAATTCCTCTTCCAGTACTTTATAAAACTGTGTTTCACTAACCCCATCTCTGAAGAAAATTATTCTCCCGGGAAGTTTCTTTACTTCCTGATAAAAATCATCAAGCAGTTCACCCACCATTGCACCAAGATCCTGGATGATCTCCTGTCTGTGTGTTTGGGACCTTATTCTTGAAATGTATTTGTTTGCTGTTGGCCAATTCATGCTGCCAACAACAGCAGCAATAGATGGATTGAAATCGTCAAGTGGATGAGGATGTGTTACATCAGCGCCCATAAAAATGGCTGGCTCATCAAACTGAAATAGTCTTGGGATTTGAGAAGGAAGTGAATTGTAAAGAGCAACTGTGCATCCACCAACCTTGGCATTAATTTTTAAGGCCAAATTAGCCAAAAACTGTGAACTTAGCTTGATGAGATTTGGATACAAGCAGCATTGGCTTACAACCCCAACACTAGTCTCAGCAATTCGTTTCAGGTCTGCGTACCCTTTGTGTTTTTTCTCCATTATGCAAATAAGCAGCTGGAGATTGTTTGAGGCAGCTCTCTGGATTTTCTTGAGCTTAGATTCCAAAACGTTAACATTGTTAAGCACCTGGCTGCTTCAAACTGAGGACTAATGATTGTATTCTTGTTAAGGAAAATTCCCAATTGTTCACACCTTTGAGATAGCTGGTTTATGAATCTAGGGATATTAGACTTCTGCTCAGGTGTGCCACCAAAACTTATTAGTGCCCACCTTTCAATTTTAGTTCCTTCAAAGACATGGCCATCAAGAAGGTTCCACTGGCGGTCATGACGTGAAGGAAATAGATTTCTAACTCGACCTCCATCTCCTAGCTTTAGCTTGGGAGGGTGAAGAATTCTCCCAGTCAGCCTTGTCATTTCGCGAGACACTTTGAGTTTAAATTCTCCTTCCTGGTTGCCACTGTAAAAAAGATTACTTTTGAGACACTAGAAACCAATGCAGAAAAACAAATGATTCGCAGAAGCACATACAGACATCGTGCTCAGTAATCAGTATTCAACAGACTAGACAAGAGAATTGGAAGAACTGTAGCATTTTGGAGTTACCTGGTAGGCCCTACATTCCCTCTCATGACTCCTTCGATGATGGCTTTCCGTTCTCGTGGTCTTTGGCAGCCCATCTTCAGTATCTTTGCTGTTTGATCATCAGACAGCTTGCCAAGAAATTTCTGACCTTCACAGATCACACAAAGCTCCATAGGTAGATAACATGGTTTACTCCTACTAATTTGCAGGCACGGCAATTTTCTGAATTGAATGTCATAGTTATAGTGATCTTTAAAGTAACTCACAAGTCGTAAATTCTTTCCATCCCTGTCAGCAAACCAAAGATTTTCTGTAGCTTCTTCAGTTAAGCCACAGACTCGGTATCTCTGTACAGTTTCTCTGTGGCAAACAAAGACCCTGATATTCTTCAATGCCTTCTCCACTTCCTTCCTTTCTTCACCAGTTAAACTCGTTGTCTTCCTTTGAGAAAGATCTCGAAGAAACTCCAGACGCTTCTGCAGGTATGGAATAACTCCTATGCTCTCATGGAAAGCAGTCACAGAGAAATCTACATTGAGGGCTAGTCCTTGTTGTGTTGGTCTAAGACTCTGAAAGAACCCTCTGAATCCAACAGCTCCTCCTCCAATCTCTCTGCTTTTTCCCATTGAACTGGAATAAAATGATCTACCAACAGGTACACACTTCTCAGTCGGGCTCTCCCTCAAAACTACATCCAAAGCATGAAGATAGTCCTGTGGAAGTGGAACCCAATCATCTCCCTCTTTGCTCAAGTAGTTACTCAACTCCATCCCGTTGATCTTAGAAACTAATTTGATATTTATCCTAAACAGTTTAAGCTGTTCTTTCTTCTCTTTCAAGTCATGGATTTCTTCATAAGGCAATGCCGATTTGCTAGAGTGGATTGGAAGGCTTATGTAGAACTCAAGCTTATCATTTTGGAATTCCACGGAGCTGTAGAGATTCTTCCTCCCATCATATGCAGGCACAGCACCAGAAAAACCCACAGAATTGTTGTTAATCAATTTCTGTTTGATTTCTCTGGCAACTTCCTTGGAGGCATTAGGAGTGATTTCAACGTTGTAATGGTATATTTTTTGTGATGAATCGAATTGCACGAGGAAGTGGTTGGCGAGAAGAGAGATCACAGAACCTTCTTTGCCACCAGAGTCTGGTCTTTTTGCAGCAATCAATGTCTGTGGTTTTCTCGCAGGAATAAATTTCTTCCCTTCATCCCCTTTAAGCGATGTCTTCGCTTTAGCTTGAAGTTGAAGCCCCACCCGAGCTGGATTAACAAGTGATGGATCAGAATGGTTAAAAATCAACCTTCACTCTAACCAGAGTCGCAGACACCAGATTTAACAAAAATCACATGTCTAATCACTACTGCATTAGCTTCTAAATCCGAAAAGTATATAACTATCTGGCATGAGTGGAAAGAAACTCCAAAAATTTAAAAATAATAATTAAGATACAAAATTTGAAAAGGGAAACTTTTACTATATTGTAGTATTAAATGTATCATTATCAAACCCGTAAGCTCAAAACAATGCGGTATCTTTCTTCATTGGTGGCTGGAAGAAGAAAAAATCAGCCTCACAAATTTCCAACTCCGGCTTAAAAACAAGCCTCCAAAAGCCTGCATAACATATTTGCCTTTAGAATTATCTCCATTAAACACCGTCTAGAGGTTCTGGAGACAGTGAAAATACAAGAGTGTTCTGTCAACACTCTCTCTGGCATGGCCTGATAAACACTGACGAGGTAAAGCTTCTTAAGTAATTCTAAATCAGAAAGAATTCTCAAGGAAACCACTTGTAAGCAAATAAACAGAGCCTAATGAAGGAAGCAATAGAAAGAAGAGAGGATTAGAGTTACCGGGAGAAACAGTGGGTTCTTCTGAGACCTTCTTGTTGTCTGAGGAGGCAGCCAAGGGAGAATTGTTATTGAGTTTGCATGGATATTTCTTGAAATGGGTTTGGGATTTGATGGCTTGGTTTTGAGGGAACGGTGGCGCCAGAGCTAGTTGCAGAGGCAAATAGAAGGCAGAGGAGAAGAGCCGGACAGTACCTCTGATACTTATTCTGGTTACACAGCCCACCAAACTGATTATTCTGATAATAATGCTCATCAGAGTTCGCTCCTACCCTCAAGCTCCTTCTTCTTTGAGCTGTGGATTTCTTCTTGCCATTGGACTCCTCTGTCTCTTCCATGATTTGATTCACAGAGAAGGCGGGTCGTTCTGGTTTATTCAATATAACTTCGATGTAACGACAGATACTACAGTTACTGCAGAGAGATAGAGAGAGAAAGAGAGAGAGAGAGATGGAAGTGTAAGAAAGTGAGGAACTTTGGGTTTGTAGGCTCGTAGAGGTTTTTATGTACTGCTTTTTCTCTGAAAAAGGGTACGAGACAGTGGTATAATAATTTCAATGGGAAACCAGCACGCCTGAGTTGCCTTAATTGCCTTAAATGATAGAGTAATATGCCCTTGGCTAAAGAGGGCTATACCTTTATGAACGTCGCAAATGGCAATCTGTCTCCGTATATAATATAGACACACACACACACACACACACACTCTTTTTCTTTAATAAAAAATCCTTCACTAAATGTCAAGCACTTCAAGACTAGCCCAGCCTTTTTCCTTGGAAATTATGGGCGAGTCAAAATGAGAAGACAGAGGAGGAAGAAGAAGATGGGATTCTTAAATAAAGTGATAATATTAATAACGATGATAGTGATTGGGCTTTCAATGCACCCTTTTGGGGTCAAATTGATTTTCACTATTTGTCTCTTTCTTTGCCAGTAGTATTTCTTCAATTCCTATTGCCTTCTAAAACAAACACACACACACACACACACATCTCATCATCCCCTGTGCTTGTCACTATTGGCTTCAACTTTGAGCATGCTTCCATCAATATCACACATTGAATTTTCTGCTTGTCCTGTATGTATCAAGCATTCATTCATCTACTTCTATCGTCGTCATCACCGAGAGATAAAATAATCAGAAAAACAAGCTAAAGAACACGTCCTTTCTGTGATTGGGACCATGTTTTACAAGCCTAAATGTTTGCTCATTATAAGAATACGACAGAGATTCCTCTGTTTTATATGCCTCATTATACTCGTCGATTAAGCTTAGCTCTTGAAGCAGATAATTACAGAAGAAACTCATGGTCTGGATTCTAATCACATTTTTCCAAGAGGAAAAATCAAATGGGTTTTTCGAGAAAAGGAAAAAAAAAAAAAACGAGAGGCTATGACATATAGGTATTATATTTATCTTACTTAACCAGGTGTCCATACAGAATTTCTGGCATATTTTTTTGTGTCCCAAAGCTTTAGGATATACATATATTTCTTGAAGTTCCTGTGATATTTGAAGATGCATATAACAAAGGAGGCAGATTCAGGCCTGATATGAGTAGAAACAGGGGGATTTGACTGGAGAAATGAAAGTTGTGTTGTCTCTATCTAGTTTTGCTTTAAGGATAGTTTGTAAGGTTTGGCCTCACTTTTGCCCCATCTTTGAGTACATGATTAGTGGTGATATGAGAGGGAGAAGAAGACGCCATTGATGGTGTTAGAAAGGTGGATCTTATTCCATAGACAGACATTTGGTGATTTGGTGATGAGAACAACATTATCTCTGTGGAGCCTAAAAACGACAACTTATGAATTCATCAATTAAATCTCTGGCATATTTTTTGTGTCCCAAAGCTTTAGGATATACATATATTTCTTGAAGTTCCTGTGATATTTGAAGATGCATATAACAAAGGAGGCAGATTCAGGCCTGATATGAGTAGAAACAGGGGGATTTGACTGGAGAAATGAAAGTTGATGGTTGTCTCTATCTAGTTTTGCTTTAAGGAATAGTTTGTAAGGTTTGGCCTCACTTTTGCCCCATCTTTTGAGTACATGATTAGTGGTGATATGAGAGGGAGAAGAAGACGCCATTGATGGTGTTAGAAAGGTGGATCTTTATTCATAGACAGACATTTGGTGAATTTGGTGATGAGACAACATTATCTCTGTGGAGCCTAAAAACGACAACTTATGAATTCATCAATTAAATCTTCACTAATTCACTTTCCTGTATATAAAGTAGGAAAAAATTTAGATCGGTTATATTCGTTATATCAAGTTCTTTAATTACATATCAAGTTCTTTAATTACATATGATATGTGTTTTTTGTGAATTTTTAATTAAATGCTATTAAATGCTGATATTTTAAAAATAAAATATATAGTCATGTGTTATTGAAAAACTTAACATAATAGATATAAGTAACTTGATATAAATATTGTCATAAGGTGTGTGCCCGTAATAAATACAATATATTGTACTTTTTCTAGCTTTTTTCTAAGATACTTGAAAGAGGGATTTGAAAAACATTACTGAAAAATTCATGTTTACAAATTTTATTAGGTAGAAGGACCTAAATTTGAGTATTGATACTTTCTGAGTATGAAAAAACCTACAAAGTAGCCATACTTTTTGTGTATAAAATATATCATATCCTTCTAACAAACGAAAATCTAAAGTTGGGACTTTTCATTAATTTTTCTTTTCTTTACTTTTTAAGGTTATAAACGAGATATTTTTTTTTTTGGTGAAATAGATGAGATATTTATTTCTGTTAACATCAATATTTGTTTATATTCCAAACCTGGCTGTTGAGCTTTTCTCAAATGATGGGTTTAATATGAACAAAGTTATAAATCTTGTTAATTTTCAGGCATAATATGTTTTAAATCTCTCATTGATGCTAATGAAAAAGTTGAAAGTGAGTTAAAAAAAAATTAAATGGAGTATTATTTATAAATTGTAAATAGCATTATTTATTATAGAGTTTATTGTACGTGTGAATGTTGATATTAATGTTGCTGCCATATTACGAGTAGACGCTAGACAATATATACTGTGAACCTAATCCTAAACCCCCCGGGGGGGGGGGTCCATTTGTTACAGAAATTAAATGCATTGAATGGCAGATTGTACAGAGTGGAGCGGCATTATATTATAATCCAAAAGGAGATTTAATTTAAAAAAAAAACACTTAAATTTTATGAATGTGGTACTTTGGATATCCCCACCCTTTTTCTCATGGTTTCGTGCCCCACCACATTTCTGTGCTTTTCCCTCGCAAATTCCCATATCTTCCAGATTCTTTTCTTTCCTCATCGTGGCTATCAAACTATTTTTAAGTGATATTATTCAATTTTTGATATAAATATTCTTTTGGTTTTATTTATAGACTAAAAAAAAGATATTTTTTTGATCACATTTATAAGATAATGAGAAAAAATTTTATATTAATGTATAATTTTATCTTTCATTTATTATTGTATTGATTTCGTTTACATGATGTATAATCTATATTAAATAGAGATAAATTTAGAAAGTTGTTGAATTTTAAAGGAGAGTTAATGAAATTTAAGATTTTTTTTTATCTGTGTGAAAAATATTAGAAGCGACTTATAAATAGAACCGGAGAACTATCTTATCTTTTATTTATAATTATATATATTATTATTTTTTTAAAAATATTTATTTAGTAGGTATAAAGTTTATAAAAAAAAAATAGGAGCAAAATTGAAATATTACTACCTCCGGTCCTAATTATAAGAACCAGTTGACTAATTTGAGAAGATTAAGGAAATAAGTTGAGTCAGTTATTTGCCCTAAATAGGTGTTATCTTTGCTAAAATATCCCTGCTAATTAAGTGTATTGACTAGAACTATCATTGTTAGAAGGGCTATTTTGAAAAAAATGTATAAATATGAGAGACAAAGAAGATTGGGGTCTTATATTTAGGATCAAAATAAAAGTCAAATATAGTCTTATATTAAGGACTGGAGGTAGTATTAAATTTTAAGACAGAGTTAATATGTTCTAATGTTTTCTTTAGTTCTAATAAAAATACTGGAAATGACTTATAAATAATATTGAAATATTATTGAAACTTAAATCCTTAATTTTTTTTCCTTTGAAAAGGAACTCCAATCCATTATCCATCTCATGACATAGGTCTTAATTTTGGAACACACGCAAACTCAAGATGTGCTAAAATCTATGTAATATGGAATAAAAAATTAACTTTTTAATTTCTATTCTACCAAATATCATTTGATAGGGGAATCAAAATTTGAAGAGGACAGCAATACAAAACGCAGTTTGAGACGGAAGAAAATTGATTAGAGAGTTCAGTTTTGTTTGTATTTGGGTAGCAATATTGATGGCATCTTTGAATTCGTTGTGCATTCTGAGAAGGGCGGAAGCTATCTTTGTTTTTATATGCAGGCAAATGGATTCCAACGAGGGCCAATTCAGCAATGTCAGGAAATGGACGAAATTCCTCAGTGATTGCCATGTGTCAAGCTCTTGAAAATTTGGACCAATAAATTTCCCCTTTGCATTTATTTTTTTTATTCCTATTTATAAGTTAATTTCAATATATTTTACTTAGACAGATTAAGAAAAATTTTAAACTTTATTAACTCTCATTTAAAATTTAATAATTTTTTAATTTTTTTCTATTTAATATACATTATACTTCATGTAAACAAAATCAACACAATAATAAATGAAGAGTAAAATTGCACATCTATTTAAAAAATTTCTCTAAGTGTCCTATAAATAGAACTAGAAAAGTATTTAGAATTAAATAAGAAGAAAATAAATAAAATATAAATAATGCTTATCTCTATTCTTGCAATCAAACCCACCTTTGCACAATACTATTGGCTTGTTCTAAATTAATTAGGGGTGTTTAGTTTAACTGAATGCACTTTTAAAAAATACTTTTTTGTTTCATATGCTTGCGTCGTATATGATGAAATTTCTTTTATAAGCATGATTTGGCTTACTCCCAAGCATTAAAGTTTTTAAAAATAACTTTTGAATCATAATTTATAGAATACTAGATGAGTATGTAAGAAAATTTTTATTTCAACTTACATAAAAATATTTACAAATGTTTATATTAAGTAATTCCAAACAAATACTTTTAACCACAGACAAGCGATGAGGACTGGAAGAAGTTCCAAAGCTTTACTTGTGTTAAAACATTTCAAGACCGTAGCAACAAGAATCTAACTATTGCAACGCCCTTTTTCTCTTTAAAAGGTGAAATGATTTGATTTTATTATAAACTAATAAGATGAGATGTGGCTGTTTTTTTGGTAAGGAGTGATGGGCAAAAGCTACAAGTCAATTAAACTTTTGCTTTTTGGCCAAAAAAAAAAAAATTAAACTTTTGCTTTTCCCCCCCTTCTTTTCCATACATCCAATGGAATACTTTTCTTCCAACTTTGACCAATCCTTCAAAACCCTTCACATTTCATATTCCTGTAGAAGTAGATTACTTGCTAGTAACATTAAATGTGTACACTTTCAACTTTATAATAAAGTGATTTGATTAAGCATGCTAGCTAAAAATTTTTCCCCAACATAAGGCAAGGGAAGTGCAATTCCCCCTTCAATTATAAATATAAGAGATAAATAATTAATTTACATAGGTTAATAAAATTAATTAATTTAATTATTTATAAAAAATATTAATTCTTTTAAAATAATCCTTTTAATCATTTATATTGAAAATTATTTTTGTGATGAAAACTCCCTTAATATATATATGATTATTAGGGAGGTTTTATGACAAAAATAAATTCAAGAAAAAATTAGATTGTAATTATACATTTAGCATCAAAGCAAACTTTTCTATCGGTTCTAATATATAGAACATATTGTCCAAAAGTTTGAATAAATTATCATTCTAATTTTATCTGTAAATAACTTCCAACACGTTTGATTGGAATAAAAAAGTAATTAAAACTCATTAACTTTATCTAAAACCTTAATGAGTTTTCAACTTTGCTTCTATTAAGTATAGATACTTTAAAAATTAAATAACATACATTTAATTTTTTTAGCCAACGAACATACATTAAATTAAATCACTTCCAATATGTTTGATTTAAATTTTAGTTAAAGATACCTTCAAAAAAATTTTAGCTAGAAAAGATATTTTGGTCTTTCATTAATATTCATAATAAATTTCTAATAAGACCTTTTGACCTTATTGAAAAAATTTTAAAATTATTCCAAGCATGAATTTAAATTTCAGTATTTCAATCAGATTTAATTGAAGTTTTTCCTATCATGAATCATCAACTTGCCGAACTAATTTTTTATTTATAAAGCACGTCATTAATTCTTGTGTAAGTGTACCGATTTGACCATGTGGATTTCAAAGCAGACCATATCTAAACGTTATTTTCAATTTTCAAATCCTTAGCCTTAAAAGTGGGATTATTAATTTAATATTAAAAAAAAAGGGATATAGGGAGATCATGTGAGCACATCCTCGATATCATAATGTTGACCTTCTATGTATGTGGTTTTGTGCTCTTTGACTATCAACCTAACAACTAAATTTGTGGAATTAATTAATTAATAATTTATGAACCAATTAATGCCAAAGAGGTAGACGTTAATGATGGTTCGGACCAACAAATGGCGTCAATCATGATCTCTCCTTTTCACTACTCTTTCTTTTTATTTTTTAAGTTGTGTAAATTCAAAAATATGTTAAAATTGATTAAAAAATAAATATGCAAAAAAACGTTTATCTTTTCAAACATATTCTTATTTATAGAGAGGATATGACTGAGAGAGAATGAGTTAAAAATGAGAGATATATACTCAATTAGAGGTCAAATTAAAAAAAGTGCATTAAAATAATTTAATATATAATATAAAGTTCCTAAATGCTAAAAAAAAAAATTTCCTAAATTTCATGCATCACATTAAAATACACTTATGGTTACCCATTTTTCAGGGGGAAAAAAATAAAGAAAAGGAAATCATGTTTAACTCAAGGGATAAAGACAAGGGAGAGAAGATCTGGAGCACTTTTTTTTTTTTTTTATATATTTCTTTGTGCATCTTTTAATTTATTATAATTAATTAACACATGATAATCTACTTTAACAATCCCTCTCTTAACAAGAAGGACAGAAAAATACATGATAACCTACTGAAAAACACACATAATATATATATTTCTTCGTGTCCTATAACTTTTCTTATTAATAGTAAGAAAATATATGAATAAGAAAATGCACAAAAAAAATGTACATCAAATCCATGCCTCATGATATGGTGGGTGTAAATAGAGTTACGGAATTCAAATGCTCCTAATATAATAAAAACCCAAAAAAGAAAACACCAAAGAAAGGAAGGAAAAAAGGGCAATGAGGCCCTTGAACTTCAGTTCGGCATTATCAATTTGGGCCCTCGTTCCTTCCTAGTTCATATTCTCTGAGTTTGGGCCGGACCAGCTACCACAATTCAGAAGATTTGCAGAATATTGATCTGGTTGTGCTAAACATTTTATATTAATCTCTCTTCCTTAAGATAATCAAAATTAGGGGCTACAAATTTATTTTGCTGCATGTTTTTTACCGATTAAGCCATCCATTTTGAGAAAATATTTTTTCCCATTTGCATAAAATGAAAGCCGTTTGAATATGTACACTAACTAGAATAACAAATAACTTAGAATTTATTTCTTAATAATATTTAATTTTCTCCACAATTAAATGAGTGGCGAAAGATGATACATAATTTTTTTGATTAAAAAGTTTTGTGAATTGAGTTATAGGGGTTTATCATAATCAAGATTGATACCACGGTTAAAAGAACATTTTGTTATATTATCCACAAGATTTAACCCACCCTCTTGTAGATTTTTTTTTTTTTTAAAATCGAACTCTTGTGTGGATTATGGATTACTCCCTTTGATGCTTTTTATAAGGCATCTTCGAGACTTTTTTTTTTTCCTTTTTCTATATATGATAAAATGGTATTCAATACTCTAATATTATCTCTGATCTTTAATATAAAAATTTATTTGACTTTTATTTTGATATTAAATATAAGATTTCAATCCACTTTGTTTTTTATATTTATTCATTTTTTCTCAAGTTAGTTTTTATAATAATAATTCTAACCAATACACTTGATTAGCAAGAATATTTTGAGAAAGACAACACATACACAAATAACTAACTTAACTAGTTTTCTTAATTTACTCAAATTAGTCAATTAACTCTTATATTAAGAACCAGGGGTAGTATTATCTAATATCTAACACTCTAATCTTATTTATGATGCATTCAACATCCGTTGATATTATATTTTAGTTACCCATAATTTTATTTACGGTTTAAGAATCCGTGTTTAATGGTAATAGTCCAATCCTCCATTGGAAGATCTTTGATCATTTTGATAGGGCTGGAGAGAGGGTGACTCAAGAAGACTTTGTAGGGGATAAGTGTGAGGGTCCATCAAGTCAGTAAATACACTAATACCTAAAGAATAATGCTCACTCCAACAGAGAGGGAGACCTCTCAGGACACTATTTTCTCTCTCTGTTGAGCTGAAATCCAAGGTATTTGGAGAAACTTTTTAATCAACTATCATGTTAATGGTTGGATTTGGATTCTCTCCGCTTCTTTTCCTACCCCCTTCCCCTCCACTACCCTCTTTTTTTCTTCTTAACTATTGGATCAAAATTCCAATAGTCTAGATTTAACATATTATAAAAAAAATATTATTAAAAAAAATTAAACTGTTAAAATCTGATCTAAATAGTTAACAACTGTAATAAAAAAAATTGAAAAAAAAATGCTTTGTAATATCAGTCTGTAGATATAAACTGTTCAAATTAGATTTTAACAGTTTAAATTTATTGATCTATTTTTATAATTACATTTATTTTTATAAAATGTTGTAAAATATTAAATCTAGACTATTGAAATTTTGATCTAATGTTGTGAAGGGCCAAAAAAGGTGACGGAGGGGAAGTGGATGAGAGAAGAAGTGGAGAGAATTCAAATCCATGTTTATCTCACTATTATCAGACCATCACAAGTCCCAGCACCATTAAGATCAGCAGATTTCTCAAATCTACCGCAGCTAGGTTGTGAAGGACCCCATTTAGAGTGAAGATCTCTGTGCTGGGATTAAATTGTTGATCCTTGCTTGCTAGTCATTAATTGTGTACATGTGTGTGCATACAGGCATACAGCGACGGTTTTCGAGCATAAAAAGACGGTTTCATAATGCAGATAAATGTGTGGCCCACCATATCCTCTCAACTAGGGCAATGTAAGGTGGCAAATTAAGAGCAGTCCCAGTTAGATAGAGCTCAAATTCAAACCTTCCCACAAGGATTCAAAAAGGTCTACTTCCAATCCCTTGATATTTTCCTATTACCATCTAGATATTTATCCTTTTATAATGATATTTGATGAGGCCTAGTCACTTCTTGAACCAACTCAGGCAAACTGTATTTCGCAGCAATGATGTACGAACCAAATAAAAACGACGACGACGACGACAATAACGAATGGCAACATGTTGAGCATCCATTTCCTGAGGGATCCCCCTCCACGATGCACCAATCGAGTAGTGCATCGAACAATTTTGTGATTGATGAGAATTACCTTCTTCATGGTCGTCGATCTGCCTCTGTCCCGCCACCGAACCCTGAAGATGATCAATCCTCGTCGCCGCCATCATCACCGGCATCGGCGTCGGCGTCGTCTAATTGCGTGAGTGATGAGGATGGGAATCCGATTCCGTCGCCGTCGCAATCAGAATGGAGGCTCCGAGTGGCCAGTGAGGGCTGGAAGCTATTGAAGGTGCGGTTCGAGGCGATTAGAGACGGTGTCGTTCGGGTGGCTTCTAGAGTTCGTGATTATGCAATATGCATGGGGGCGTTTTGGTCAATTACGTACATAACCGGAGCGGCGTTGGCAACGGCAGCGTTATTGGTATACGTGGGGATTCAACGTCGACGCCGGCGCCGGCGATGGACGCTTCATCAGCAGAGGTTGGATCATATGGCTTGTCTTCTTAGAGAGAGAGACGAGGTGGGTTTCCATCAGACCTCCCTTGCTTTTAATTCTCCCCACCTGCCTCCCGCACTTCCCACCTGTACACACCCCCGTTACTAGTGCTTATTGTTTTTTAATTGTAATTATATTTTATTATTTTTAATTTTAATTGGGCTCAATTCTAAAAGGAAAATATGAGAAGATTTGGAAAATTTTTGATATATCAGTTATATCTTTTAACTTTTCTAAAAAAATTTAAACCACAGATAAACACAAATAGGAGAGTGATATTTAGACGGGAAAATGACATTTTTACATCATTATGAAATTAATCACATTTAGAAACTACTCCTTCCCATAGTACTTGGATGAACTTAAGTAATTTCTCGGTTTTTAAAGAGTACTCCTTCAGTTTTTTTAATTTAAAAAAAAAAACAATTACCATTTAGAAGAGACATTTAGAGGATGTGTCTCTTTTTTTCGTTTTTGGTCAATTAGGATGTGTCAAGTTTATAAAAAATTGAAATTAATAATCACAATGATATGTTGTTTTGAAATCCATAAGGTATTTTTTTTATTGACGCTTTAATAGTTTAAATAAGCATTAATTTTTTTTTTTTTGTATATGCTTGTATTTTATAAGAGTAAGTAGTTAAAATGAGGGTTACATTAAAAGTAACTATTATCATGTGATTAACCTGCTAGGAAAAATTCATGGAAAGAACATTGTGGTAAACAAATCTTAGAAATAGTACAATTTTTAATTCATCATTCCTTAGCTTCTAGGGAAAATATATGTATCATACATAGTTTTTGTCAAATTAAATTTTATAAAGAAGAGACGCATGTGATGGTGCAAATATTGGTGTGCAGAGGATTAGCGAGCTGTTGCTTCAGATTGCCCATTTGAATGAATTGTTGTCGTCAAGGCGCAAGGTTCCAGTGCTCCGAATCAATGGCTAATTTCATTTACTGTGAGTTTAATTAATTACTGCCTCCAGTTCTAAATATAAGAGTTAATTAATTAATTTGAGTAGATTAAAAAAATAAATTAAATTAGTTATTTGTTATTAATAAGTGTTGTATTTTCTAAAATATCCTTACTAATCAAGTGTATTGGTTAGAACTATCATTATTAGAAGGACTATTTGGAAAAAAATAAATAAATATAAGAGACAAAGTGGATTGAGATCTTATATTTAGAATCAAAATAAAAATTAAATGAGATCTTATATTAAGAACTGGAGGTAGTAATTTGTACTCTTATTTTTCTCACAATACAATTATTGCACAGTTAATGTAAACACATACATATATATACAATTATACATATGTGTGCTCGTGCTCTTCTTTCTTGGCCAGGATACACACCCACATTGTTCACACAAATACACAAGATATCCTTCGCACTACTCGTGTGCAGTTTCTGTAGCTGGCTAGTTTAATTTTCCCATTATATTGCTAATTATTGGATCATTATCATTATAATAACTGTTTTTTTTTTAACTTTGGTCTAAATTAATTAAATTGTCACTACCATTCATAAATGTACGGCCTAGTCCCTTGTATAAGCATTTATTTTAATTGGATCCATCCCAATGCGTTTTGAGGGATCAGGTTAGGTATTAGCTGTGGGTGAATGCTCATGGTAGCTTCCGGTTTTCATCTCACTTAGCTTAATTTCCTCATCAGTACAACCTAAAAACGTCAGGCTAGGATTATTGGCTGATGAGTTTCTTGGGTTCTATTAGTATAATGCCCTCTTACTTACTGCTTCCAGTCTTTTATATAAGAGTTTGTTTAATTTTTATTTTGATCCTAAATATAAAACCCTAATATATTTTGTCTCTCATATTTATCTATTTTTTCTAATGTAGTCCTTGTAATAATAGTAGTTCTACCCAATATACTTGATTATCAAGAATATTTCAGGAAACACGACACACATTTATTACAAGTAACTAACACAACACATATTTATTACAAATAATTAACTTAACTAATTTTTTCAGTCTACTCAAATTAGTCAACTAGTACTTATATTAAGTACAAAGATAGTATGATAAGTTTCAAATAACTAATTTATGGATAACAAATAATTAGTTAAAATTAGTTAAACACAATAAATAAGTTAGAAATATACTTTTGATATCCTTATAATAAATGAGAAAAAAGGATGAAAAAGAATTTGTGGAGAGATGTGATACAAGGGAAATGATTAAAGGCAATATTAAAAAAATATATTAAATGTTAAGATAAACCCAAATTAAAGCTTATAAAATGAATCATACATCTTCCCAAATTTAAAGCTTATATATAAGACTAGAGGGAGTATAATAAAGTTAAGGCTAAAGTACATATTTGGTCCTATAACTTTGTACAAGGAATTTGATCTTTTAACTTTAAAAAGTATACTTCTAGTCTTTTAATCTTAAATTTTTTTAAAAAATGATGATATTAAAATCTTAAATATTGATAAAATACTTTTAAATACTAACATATTAAGTTGAGTTTTTAAAATATTCATGATTATTACAAAAAAATCATCATTAAAGCCTAATGATTTTAGGGTTAAAAGACCAAATGTATGTTTTTTAAAAGTTAAGGGATCAAATTGAGACCTTGTACAAAGTTAAAAGACCAAATGTATACTTTAGGCTAAAGTTAATATCATATTTAATTAATTTCTGAACTTTGTTTTTATTTTGATTTTGATCCCAGTTAAAATTTGAAACCAATAGTTTTAATTCTTAAAATCTGACCTCATTTTGATTCCCTAAAAATATTTGGTCAATGAAACTCTATTTCAGAGACTAAATAAGAACTAAAACTAAAATCGACTCAAATTTTAAGAATTAAGGATCATATTACCCCGCCATTTTTTCTTGCTTCTTTTTGTATTGAATGTTCATGCTTAAGGAAGAACAAGAATTATAAACACTAGTAAAAAATATTAATTAAATGACACAGTTTTCACGTTAGTTTTATAAGTAACTGGAGTACTATTAATAAATCTAGTGGCAGTACTGTAAATAAATTGAAAAATGTTCTTATTTTCGTGCAAATTATTTTTTTTATCTATGTAACACTATAATTAATACTCCTTCCGTCCTAAAAGTTTACGTTATAAAATGAGTTTTACAATTAAAAATTTAAAAGCAGATGAGTATTAATTTTGTCTGATCCAAAATGAACGCACGCCAGTTCTTTTTGTTTTAACAAATTCCTTGATGTTTTAACATGCATGTTCCCTCGTGCACTTTAAAACTTCCCAATTTGCAACCAATTCCTGCAAATAAACAAGCAAATGTTACTAGAATGACAAATTATGTTAGTAATACAAATATAACTATAAAAATTCAGAATAGGTGCAAAAATAACAAAAATGTTAAAATGAGATAACTGCCGTTATTTTTGGTGGTGAGATCCATACTATTTTTAAAAAAAGTACTAAAACACTCAAGAGTCAAGAAAAAGAAAAGCAATGGTTCCCCCCACCTCGATTTGCAAGAATGGATGCAGATTCAAAAGATCCCAGACTTCTAACACTTGGATGCACCACCTGTCATGTAGTGTCATCTTTCTCTCAAGCTTTTCACAAACTGGAGAGCAATGTCTCTGCATCTCATGAATCTACAAAGCCACACCAAGATCTCCAGAAAAAAGAAAAATCACAATCAACACCAACATAGCTAGAAAATTCAAACCAGAATCATCATTCAACATTAATCAAATGGAGTTAAAAGACTCGAAAATTAAGAACAATCTAAACATTCCAGTTCATAGCATTCAAACTTTTCACACACACCCGAGATATCATCATTGCCAATTTCTTCATCTTAAACACCTAAAACAAACATTTTTCCTAACAGATTAACAGTTCAGATGCTAGAAAATCCTCCTGCTCCAATCAGAGAAACTGTCGCCACTTACCTTGCTTGCCTCTGCAATCTCTACGTCGCCCTCGACTTGCTCAAAACATTTGATATTAATGCAACTAGTTACGGTAGGAGAATGCAGCAAAAATAGGGGCGGGGGAGAGGGGCGGAGAGAAGGAGAGGGAGGGGGGGCAACACGAGGTAGTGGATGATAGGCGGAGGCTGAACTCGCTGCTGCCACCACCGCATGGATTGAGGAAAACAATAGGGGCATTGCAAGAGACCGCGAGAGGTTCCCCAACGGCAAACGTACAGAGGGCAGAACCAGTGAGGCGGAGCGACCGACGATAGTTGGAATGCACAGCAACGAGTGTTGATGGCGCATGCAGACAGCCTCTTTCATAAGGTGGCGCCGCTCCTTGCACTGTTGCATAGTGTCCTTGCAGATCTATCGATACCACGACATGAACCGGCATGGGTTCAGGCAGTAGTGCCACGACGAAGATTAGCGACGCCGACCATTGCTCTCGGGTTCTTCTTGGTTGGCGTGACTGGGTTTGAAGGCTAAGAATCTAAGATCGGTTTTTTTTTTTTTTTTTAATAATATGTTTTTTTTTTTACTGGGGGTATTTTACTGCCAAAAGTATCTCATTTAAACCGTTTTATTATTTTTGCACCTATTTTAAACTTTTATAGTTAGACTTGCACCTGAGAAAAAAATATAGTATTAGGTGTACTTTTAAGAAAAGCTGATGATATTTTTGCGCCTTACCTCTTAATTTTTTCTCAAAATAGTTTCTATGATAATTGTACATATTAAATAGTTTATCAAAGTATCTCAATGCATGATTAATAAAGATATTTTTAAAAAAAATACTACCTCCCGTCTTTAATATAAGAGCTAGTTAATAAATTTGAGTAGATTAAAAAAATTAGTAAAGTTAGTTATTTATAATTAATGGGTGTTATCTTTTCTAAATTATTTTTAATAATAAAGTGTATTAGCTAGATTTACTATTATTATAAGGGCTATTTTAAATAAATAAATAAATATCAAAGATAAAGTGAATTGGGATTTTATATTTAAGAACAAAATAAAAGTCAAACAAACTCTAATACTAAAGACCGAAGATAGTACCTATTTATTGGAAATAATTAATTTAACTAATTTTTTTAATATATGTAAATAGTTATGTAATTCTTGTATTAAGAATTGGATGTCGCATTATACAAGGATTTTTTTAAAAATAATTAATTTACTTAACAATTGAAAAGGATAACTATTACTTCGATTCTTGATATAAAAATCAGTTGACTAATTTGAAAGATTAAAAATTAAAAAATTATTTAATTATAACATATATTATATTGGATTATATATCAAGTTATAAGTAAATCAAGTCATTTTAAAACATAAATATAAATATTTTAAAATAATTTAATAACTTTCTTAATTATTTTTAACAAATTTTGAATAAGAGTAAAGTAATTATTTTTATATAAAAGGATAATGGGATATAGTATTAAATTAAATTGGTAAAAAAAATTAAGGTTAATATGGACTTTAGTGCTTTAAGTTTATTCTCATTTCGGTTTCGGGCCTTCAAGTTTCAAATTATAACTTTTGATCCCTTAAGTTTCTTTTTATTTATAACATTGGCCCCTATAACCTAATAAAAACTTGGACCATTTTACTCCTAAAAGGACTAAAACCTAGAGTTTGAAACTTGAGGGACTAAAGCTAAAATAAGAACAAATTTGAAGAACTAAAGATTATATTAACCCAAAAAATTAAATTAAATTAGGCTATATATTATGTACGGCCTTTGGTCCTAATTATAAGAGTTAGTTGACTAATTTGAAGAGATTAAGAAAATAAGTTAAGATAGTTATTTGTAATAAATAGGTATTGTATTTTCTAAAATATCCCTGCTAATCAAATGTGTTGATTAAAACTACTATTATTAGAATGACTATTTTAAAAAAAATACAAATATTAAAAATAAAATAAATTAAAATATTATATTTAGAATTAAAATAAAAACCAAAATAATCCGTAATACGATACTTTACGGGATACAAGCGGAAGTGATGCGTGTTCATCGGCGGGGACGGAATTCTGGACATCACTCCAATTTGAAGCCGACGTGTGGTGCCTCCATTTTCCTTCACGTGGACCCATCATTGAGATGAGAGAGAAAAAAATCCCCCAGATTCTGCTTCAGGTTCACATTTTCCCATTTTTCTTCTTCCTCTTTCTTTCTTCTTCTTTTGTCCGCTCTCCCCAACGAACACCTCAAACAGTCGTTCACGGCGAGAACTGCTCTTACCTCTCTTAATTTCTCTTCCAAATTAGTTAATCGAACTTCATCACTCGGGTGAATCCGCCTCCGAGTTTCGTGGATTGAAGATTTAGTGTTTGCCCAACTGAGCAATTCAAGGCAATCAAATCAGCTAAATCCCATGGATTCGCTTTCTTCGGTCTCTCCGTCCATGGTCTTACCCTCCAGTAACCTATTTCATCGCCAAACCCGGAGAATTCATCTGTTTTCCCGTAATCCTTGTAATCGTATTCCGAGGCTCACTTCAGTATTGGCTAAACCACATAGAAGGCGTTTGAAAGGCGTATCTTGCAATCTGGGTGGTGGAGAAGGTGTTAAAGGAGAAGATGACGATGGCAGCGAAGAGGTCGAGAGGGCCCTTCATATGGACGGGACCATTCCTGGGACTTCCGACGAGTTTCTGAGGCGGGTTTCGTCGCGTGCTTATGATATGCGAAGACATCTCCAAGAAAGTTTGATAGCAGCAGCTATGACGGTACGGTGGCACTTGTTTTTCTCCTTTTGCCTTCAGTTACCTGGTTCCGATTCTGCAGATATTGATCCTGTTCTGTTTGCTTGTGGTTTAAGCCTTTTATTATGCTTATTTTCCTTGTGGATCATATGGGTTGTCCAAATTGTTTTTGTTGGTTTGTTAATGGTTATGATTTTCCTACATGGCGTTACTTGCCTTCCCAATTATGTTTAGGTAAACCCTATGCAGAATTAACTTAACTGCACTGTATGAAGAATGTATGCTTCTGAGGCAGGGTTTTTATTGCGATTGATACATATTCGACACTACCAGCTATAGCATGATCATTTATCGCGACATGCCCTGCACCTGTTTCACTGTTGGCGCCACTTAGACTACATTCAAACCTCATAGCTGCAACGGCTATATAATCCACACCCCTCCGCTGTATGGAAGTAATGCAGATTTTAGTCTCTGTCTCACCCATGTTGTGTTTTGAAAGGGCGTCCCTTTGGCCTTTTTTTTCCTTTTTTGGGGTGGAGAAAGAGGGCTTAAGCCCAGAGACTGTTTATGGTTATGTATTTCTGTTGATAAGTGGACCTTTGAACAAATCTGACATGTTTATCCTCTTCATCATGATTATACTGTATCTTTGCTTTTCGTTTTTGGAGACCTCTGAAGAGGTTCTCTTGGAGATAGAACTTTCAATTATCGCTGCATGAGCCCATATATACTCTCTAATTTTAATGCGTCTAATTTATTGTTATAGGGAGTAACACAAATTGTACAATAATTAGATCAGGGTATGGTAATATTAATTTAGTCCAATAGTAACTTCCTCTCTCTGTTGTGATACTGATACTCTTACTCTTCTGTATTACCTTTTACATATCAGTATTACCTTGTCTTGATGAATCTTCTCCATGTTTCTTTACAGTTTATCACCGTAGGTATTTTTAGCATTTCGTGGTTGTTTGTATAACTCCGCCTGGCAAATAGTATTTCATGATGTCTCGTGTATGTGGTGTGCTGACTCGCTGAGTTACAGCAGAGAATATATTCAGGATTACCTTCCCAGTTTCCAAGTCTGTTGTGATTCTCTTAACTTTTCTTGTAGAAAGCATCAATAATTTCCCCCTCTCATTCATTCTATTCTTCAGTTTTAGAAGCCAACCCATGGAGAGAAACTTCTAAGCCTGTCTACGTACTCACCCAAAGGGAAAATCAATTGTGCACGATGAAAACCCGGAGAAATAGGAGGTTTGGATCAGTTTATTTTGTGTTCTTTTTCCACCTGAGTAAATTGGTTTTTCTTCCTGCCTGAGTTTGCTTTCTCTGTGACAGTGAAGTTGAAAGGGAGCTTGGGTTATTGTTTTCCAAAGGAGCTAACTGGAGATCTGGGATTGGGAATCAGTCCAAGTCCAAACAGCCAAGGGATGGGACAAAATTTACAATGCTTGTGGAAGATATTAGAGAAGGAGTGCTGGTATATATTTATACGACATTCAGCACTGCAAACGGCAAAACTTGTTTTGTTGATCATCTTAGCATATGCTTAATGATTAAAATGAATCCCCATTGGGGTTGCAGGTTTTTGAAGATGAAAACGAAGCAGTAAGGTATTGTGACTTGTTAGAGGGAGGAGGTCAAGGTTGTGAAGGCGTGGCTGAGATAGATGCCTCATCGGTATAAAATGGAGCAATTATTCTGTGATTGTCTTCTGTGTTTAGGAACTATTTTCTCATAAATTTCTGTGTGTTCTGCAGATATTTGATCTCTGCCAGAAAATGAGGGCACTCGCCGTTCTGTTCCGGCGAGGGAGGACCCCTCCTCTGCCGGAAAGTTTGAAGCTCAACCTGAGAGCTCGAAAACGGTCCCTTGAAGATCAAGATGACATGATTTGAAACCCAAAGTTCGATGTGGTAGAAACAGCCTCTAGATGCTCAGGCCCCAGAGAAGTACAGATCTATGAAAAGAAGTTATTGAATTGATAACTAGATCCTACTTTCTGGAATATTTTAAATTTAAATCATCAACATAATTGAAAGCGTATACCATGTGCATTGTTTCTCATTTTCAAAGTGCGGCCTTTGAATGGAAATTTGTCGTCATCTTGTGAAAGGTGGACTGATAGATTAAAAAAAAGGAAAATTTCACCGTAGGACCGCAGAAGACAATTAATATCAAAAAACCCTTAAAACTTTCTGAAACCTCACTGCAGGATTAAGGGACTAATCTGATATTAATTCCACAAACGAAATGACGCCACTGCCCCTCATTTTAGAGTGAGATTACAATAATACCCTTCCCTTTTTATTTTATTAAAAAATAAATATTTATCGGAGTTACTGTTCCGGTCACCGGAAGTCGGAGGTCCGGCCACCGGCGCT